CTCGTGTAAAGTAGGCGACAAGGGCGTCCATAGAACATTTTTCAGGCCCCCCCCCCCCAAAAAAACTTGATTTGTTTTTAGTTTTTAAATAATAGTAGATTATACCACGAGTCAATAATAATAGCCATTATTGCGAGTAGTATACTCTACTTTATTTGCGATAATAATGACCATTAATCCCTCGCGGAAATAATATATGGCATTATACTGCCATTATCACAAATATAATACTTCCATTATATGTCAGTCGTAAATAAAACCATTTATGTAAAGTCCGTCGATTTTAATCTGATACTCCAAAAAAATGTGAGCTGGTGGCTCCCTATGTTAAAACTTCAATGGTTACTTGACGTCACACCTGTTTTTATGTGGTTTTTACCATGTGCTTCACCCCCTCGCTCCTCATACGGAAAGTGCAGATAAAAAACGACGACCAATAGGTAACCATACGTATATTACTGAATGAGCATAAGCAGTCTAAAGTGTACTCATTTGTAATGACGTCATTCCAATAAATACACACATTGCACAGACAGAATGTCAATTTGACAATTATTATTTATTGTGTAAGCAACTTTTAGTATCACTTTTGCTATTCTGTTTTTTGTATTCTTCTGGTAGCAATGGTAGCATCATGAAACAATAATAATCTCCAGGCCTAGGGGGGGGGGGCAAGTGCCCCATTTGCCCCCCCCCCCCCCTATAGACGCTCCTGGTAGGCGATATGACAAGTTTGACACTGTTAATATAAATGTCAAGTTGTATTGTTTTATCTGTCAATGTGGAAGGAGACCTTACGATTTTAATCTGATACTCGGACGGAATGTGAGCTGGAAACTCCCTTCATTAGGACGCCAATGGTTGCCTGACGTCGCACTTGTTTTTTCTATATGAAACACCCCCTCGCTCCTCATACGGAAAGTGTCAGTTAAAAATCGACGAGCAATACAAGCCCTATAAGAAATGCTTAAGAGAGAGGGAGATAGAATAGGTAATTCGAATTTCTAAAAAATTTGTTAGTATTGGAAAATTTTATCTTTTTCTACTTTTTCCTTGGAAATTTTATCGAAAAATTGTCACATTAGATTTAACAGATTTTCAAATTATTCACTCATGCCCGGTTTATTCATCTTCAGATAAACTATCTAGGTGTCTATTCTCGAAATCGGGAAACAGCGGTCTCACGAAAACGATTACTCTGTCTTTGTCAGTGTTATGGAAATATAAATATGAGTGACGAAGACAGAACCTTCGTTCTTATGAGAACGCTGCTCCCCTGTTTCGAGAATAAGGACCTTGCAAGATTCTATAATTTTATTGTCTATCAGTCGGCGGATAACTGGCCGACCAATGGGATAACAGATTGCGTTTTTATCAGTGCGAGATTCCATACCCGACAATTTATCAGAAGGCGAATAAACCGGCCTTGAAAATCTTAAAATAATTGAAATAGAGAATTCAATTTTCAACTTAACTTTATACAACTTACTTTACTAAGAGTCGGTTTGTCAATAGCGAGTTACCCCTGCTGAGTTAATTTTAACTCCAAATTTAACGTGTCCTCTTGTAATGTTTACCCTGATGGAGTTACGCTTAACCCGGGGGTGACTTGCTATTAAGAAATGTGCCCTTACTGATTCCAAAGAAAGTGTACTTAAGGCCACACGATAGAAGTGAAAACTTCGAAAATCAAAACATCACAAATGTTTGACCATTGCCACCATATTGAATCGTGGCTTTTGTGGTTCAAATCAAGGTGGTTCAAAAGAAGGAGGTTGCCTGGGCTGGAACTCTGTAGCGGATAGAGATCGTTATTCCTATCGCTACGACACTTGCTGTCTTCTTCTCTCTTTTCGAAGTCAATAGAGAGGGGACATCAATGGAGATAGAAAAAAATATCTCTACTTTGTTACAGAGCCCCAGCCCTGTGTATGTTTAAGCATAATGAAATCTTCAGAAGAACCACCTGGTGACGTTATCTATTTGTGATAACCAGACAACCTTTTCGACTCTTTCTTTCTTGCTTGGCTGAACTCCACTCGAGCCGACTAAGGCTGGGTTCGGTAATTGCATCTGCGAGCAAAATGACTAAAATTTGACAGATGTCACGAAATTTGATACGTGAAAAAAGACAAGTGATCACTTGACGTCCGTTAAAATTTGCTCCTTTTGTTCGCAGATGCAGTTACCAAACCCAGCGTCAATCTCATTCACTACCCAGAAAAAATCTTGTGCTAAATGCGCCTAAACAAGTTTCTACTTCAATAAAAAAATAAAATCCTTGACAGATAAACAATAAACCAAACTTCATTTGTCAATTTCAAATGACGTTAAATGCTTGTGGCCTAACTGACAAGAGAGGTTTTTAAGCGTCTGACCCATTGAGGTACCTAGGTTTGACCCAAGAACCCAATGAACTATAAACTACACGTACCGACCGTTGTCAGATATGGCATTTGTATGACATTTGTCATCTCTCTAAGTGCGTCCAAAGTTAGTTATACCGGGAACCAAATCGATTCATATATCAAAAACCTTAGAGCAGGTAAAGGTAAAGGAGTAGTAACATGGAATTGGAAAATGAAGCAGTTTTTTTCCAGGTATTTTGGCACCAATAAAATGGCGGTATAGGCAGCTAGAGTCAAGTTTGTGATAGGGCATGACAAATTTGACATACACTACTTGCCCCCCCTCTCTTAAATTATAGGTAAACAATCTGGTGGCAAATTTTTCAATAAATAACGTCTCTGGCAAATAAACAAAATGGCGCTGATTCTCGCGCCGCCTTGGACCATTCGCACCAAGGATAATACACACTAATAGTGAAATCCATTGGTAAGTTCAGTGTGCACTGAGTGCATTCGTGTCCTCTTTTACTAGCATGATGTAAAAGAAAGTGACAACTACTACTACTACTACTATTACAGGATAGCTTATCATCATAAGGCCTGTGTATATCAAATCTCAAGCTCCCCATCACGCCAAAGAACCAATGATTACGTAGGCAGAGTTATCCTTGCATTTGCACTCTTTCGAAACGAAAAACTACCTTTGTGTAAACATCTAACATTGTTGCATATATTTAGGAGGTTTCAGAAACACTTATCCTCGCACTTACTCGATTTCAGGCCTTTTCATTATCTACTCTTAAATTTCCTAGAGAAACTTTAACGCATGTTGCGTTTTAAAGGTAGGGCATGATCATTTGGAAGATAGGACATTGCCCCCCAATGCCCCCCCCCCCCTGGCTACTGCCATGGGTATAGGCAATGCAATGCTTCACCTGTCATTTGGTTCCAAACACTTGTCAAAAACTGGCTTCATCAATGAACTAGAGCTAAAAACTGGAATGCGCACACAGTGCCATATCTGCCAAAAAAATGAAGCCATGGAAGACAGATGCCACAAGGGGGAATGTTGTTTTTTTCTGTTGCTCGCTGACATATGACGTTTTCGAAAGTTTTTTCATATTTCCCTCCACAGGTTTCATCAATTGGAATACGTGTTGGAAGCAATTTTCGCCATTTAACATAATGAGTGCGACAAAAACAGGTATCCCCTCCGCAGCAGCCGCACTAGGCTTCACGTTCGTCCTTATGTGTTAGCATTCCAATTTTTGGTTATAGTTCATTGGGCTTCACTTAAGTTTCATAGCAAAATGGCGCGTTCCTACTCCTTATGTCCGTAGGACAGTGCTGTACCTACTCTAAGTGCAGATTTTTTTAAAAAAATTGGTTAAAATATTTTCAAGATGGTGGCACTTCCGGTTATACCGGAAGTAGAGGTCCACTTGCTTATTTTAAATGTGACACCTTGTATGTGATTGCATATTTGGATTCTACGTAAAATTCTGAGCAGATTTTATGTGATATACCCTATACCTATCATTTGATACCAACTTTGAATTTGATCCATGAAGAAAAATTCCAACTAAATCTCCGGTTAAATTCAAAGTTGGTGTCAAATGATAGTTTATGAAAATCTAGGACATGTAAAATCGGTTCTGCTCTAAACTCAATCGTTCAAGTTTTATAGTCTGTAAAAGTTGCAAAAAGTCAATTTTCAACATGAAATCTGCTCAGAATTTTATGTAGAATCCAAATATGCAATCACATACAGGATGGTCAATTTAAAATAAGCAAGTTGACGTTTACTAACCGGAAATGCCACCATCTTGCAAATATTTTAGCCGGGTTGCCCCCATTGACATAACTATACTGTGAAATTTTCAAAAATTTTCTGCATGCAGTTTTGCATAATATGGATCGATTTGGTTTCCGGTGAAAGTGGTGAAACACCCTGTATAGTGGGGGATACCTTTCTCTTTCTAGGTCATTGCTGTGAGGTTCGGTATATTTCAAACCTCAAATATAATATTTTTTAGACAAAGAAAGATTTTCATAATTGGCCCATAAGGTAAATAGAGATAGATATCCCCCATATTCTTCATCTCAATTTGCCTCATTTTATAGATAGGCCGGGCCATTACTGGTACGTGTAGTTTATAGTCTGACCAGTCAATCACAATTGACAAATAAACAAGTAAACGTCATTTGTCAATCAATTGGTATTAAATGCATTGTTCATCTGTTAAGGTTACCGACTGGGTTCATCCCTTGAAAATCCCTGAGATGTTGAAAATATAACACTAATAATTGACACTGCGGACAAAAATGTCATAGCTCTTGACACTTTAATCAAATTGACTTCTAACATCTCTCAGTTGCTCTACAAAAACCTTACGCCCTCTTTATTATAGGCTCATTAAAATTTTGACAGTTAACGATGCAGAAAAAAAAATGTCAAATGTCATTGCCCTCATTCTCGCTCCGTAAACGGCGAACGTGATAAATCTCAATCCTGTTTATAAATTCACGGCACACGAATTGGCCCGATGCGACTTGATGTTGATGTCTATGGGGGGCGCAAAAACAATCTCTGATATCGTATTTAAACGGTAGTTTTTTTCTCGATAATTTAAACGAATTAATTTCACTTACCTAAAAGTTTCGTTACGGCTCCTTGCTGAGTCAGCATGTGCTGAGCCAAATCATAGTGCCTCAAACCGAATCTGGACAATTCCAAAAACCTCTGCTGAGATACAATTGAGGCCAGAGGGTGTCCGCCCGGTGGTAATCCGGCCGAACTAGCACTTGGATAAAGCGACGCCGTAGTAGGCGTCGCGGGATTTTGATGACGTACAGATGGAGCCACTAGAAAAAAACAAAAACTCGATCGTAAAATAAATCATCTAAAAACAGTTGAATCGAGCATTCGAAATGACAGTAATTTGTCAAACGTCACTCGCGAATTGATTTATATTGGCAATATGGCTGATTTATTGGTTTTAATTATTTTAATATCGTCGCGCAGTGGTTTGTGGGAAATGCGTGTACATAGTTAGTTTTTTTTTTAAGGTTATGTTGGTTCAATTAACCCAAATTGCACACGTTTAATGTCAAAACAGGTTCGATTTCAAAGCGAAAATTGATTATTGGAGCTGCGGTTGTTTTTACATGTTAGATATTTGTTTTACATCTAATTTGCTTCAAATAGGCATTGCATTGAACTGGAATTTATATACAAATATGGGTTTTTGTTAAGAAAGTTCTCGAGTAAAGTGATATTATAAAATGTGCACTCTCGTGGCAATTTTTGTTTTGTTTTCAAATAATGAATATAATGGCATACTTTTTTTGACAGTTGACACATAAACAATTTTGTCAAAAAAAAATAAATGTATCATTGGTGGTTGTTAAATTTTTCTTACCTGTAGGATTCAGTGCGACGTTGCCGCTGTTGAGTGGCGGCGGAGCGTGGCCCATGTTCGGGTCCATTTTCCAGTTGACGATAGCGGGTCTCGGACAACAACCCGACAACGTGGCAACGCTGGAAAAATCAGTTGCCAGTGGCGCGCCGTTGCTTATTAACATAATTAGTCAGGGACAGGGGGGTCAGTGACGTGATACGGACATGGTTTTTCTATAAAGGGATTTCTTCCTGGAAAAAAGTAACTTGGTGTCATTGGAAAGAGCGATTTTTGATTCGTTTTCTGAGTTAAACTGAGAAAAGAGCTTGAAAAATGCTTCTTGGTTTATGCTTTTTAACATATTGCATCAAGGCAAACTTCATTGGAATTAGAGAGAATGAAAAACACTTTTTTTAGCTGATTGGCCTGTTGGATAACCATAAATTGGTCCATTGGACTTTTTTTAAAGTTACTATTTTCTCAGCTTCTATAGCCTCAATCTATGTTCAAACGATTTTTATCTTTTTCCTTCTTGTTGAACTCACATTACAAAGAAATAAAACATCAAGAATCGCGATTCTGACGGTCGTCTCGAAATCGAGTAAAAACGAGACGAGAATTCCACGATATTCTCGTTTATTGCAGTTGATAGCTCAAATCGAGGTTCAGGGCTGGGATCACGACGAGTACAATTCTACCTTCATGACGTCACCCGCGACCTATTTATCGCGTACAGTACATGCGATGATGATAATTGCTAGGCAACCTGACGTCATAAAAGTAGAATTCTAGTTGAATTCTACTTGTCGTGATCCCAGCCTAGGACTATAAAGTCCATAGTTTTAAAATATTCTCGTTTTTCTCAATTTCAACTGACATTATTTCGCTCGATATTCTCGTCTCGTCTCGATTTCGAGACTAAAGATTCTCGAGACAAAACAAGAGTGAAAATTTAGTCTTGTCTCAGTGCGTCATCAATAATTTACTGTATCTGTATTTAAATTTGTCAAAATAATGGCATCATAAACTTGATCCTAGTTCGAATTTTCATTTGAGATTAATTTCTGAATCAATAACGAGCCTCCATATAATATTTTGACAAGCTCTATGACGTCATCTGGGGTGCCTCAACCAGAATGCAAATCTCCATGAGGCATCCCAGATGCGTCATCCATAGTTACCCATTACCAGACCACCTATTGACTTATTGATATTTTGACCAATTTTTTGGTTTTTGTTTTTATATCGATTTTGGTTTTGAACTACTCCGAACTACTCTGACATGATATTTTAATGTGTTTGGCTCAGGAGTACCACTGAATCAATAAAGAGTAGCTCAGAACACTAAAAAATAAACAAAATCTATATTATCCTGGTTTTTTTTTTCTCAAGGAAGGTTTTTTAAAGAGATTCTGGTTATTTCTTACACAAAACACAGGAAGCTACTCATAATGTAAAATTGCATTCACAACTTTAGTAGAATTTGAAAAAAAATGTGTGTCTAGTTTAGGAAAATTGATTTTGAGCTACTCTAAACTACTCTAACAGGATATTTTACAGAATTTAACTTGGGAGTAACATCAAAGAGTAGCTCGGAACAATAACAAAACTAATATGAAATTTAAGCAAAATCACAATCAGAACTTTAGTAAATTTCTTTTGAAAAAAAAAAAGTGTCTGTTTTATGAAAACTGATTTTTGACCTACTCTAACAAGATATTTTAAAGATTTCGGCTCAGGAGCAAGAGTAACACCAAAGACTAAAGTACATAAGGTACCCCAGATGCGTCATCAAGTTACCCATTACCAGACCACCTATTGACTTTAGGAACCTTGATATTTTGACAGATTTTTTTAATTTTTGTTTCTATATCGATTTTGGTTTTGAACTACTCCGAACTACTCTGACATGATATTTTAATGTGTTTGGCTCAGGAGTACCACTGAATCAATAAAGAGTAGCTCAAAACACTAAAAAGTAAACAAAATCTATATTATCCTGATGTTTTTTTTCTCGAGGAAGGTTTTTTTAATGAGATTCTGGTAATTTCTTACAGAAAACAACTCATATAATGTTAAATTGCAATTACAACGCTGGTAGATTTTGAAAAAAATGTGTTTAGTTTAGGAAAATTGATTTTGAGCTACTCCAAATTACTCTAACAGCATATTATACAGAATTTAGCTTGGGAGTAACATCAAAGAGTGTCTCGGAACAATAACAGAACTAATATGAAATTTGAGCAAAATCGCAATCAGAACTCTAGTAGATTTCTTTTGAAAAAAAAAGTGTCTATTTTATGAAAATTGATTTTGTGCTACTCTGAACTACTCTAACAAGATATTTTAGAGATTTCGGCTCAGGAGGAAAGTAACACCAAAGACTAAAAAATACTGAGAGTAGCTTGGATTTGGAACACTAATTCCAGTGTTCAGTTCAGAACCAAATAGGTACACAGGAAACTAAAAAACTCTATAAAGGAATTTTCATATGAACTTGTTGACAAAAGCAGAACCATAAATAGAAATGTTTCCCTAGAAAAACACTAAAATGTTTCAATTGAGTGCAATTTATCGAACAAAAAAAGCCAAAAATTTAAACCTAAACCTTACCCTGTTCTATTTAAGTCGAATAGGAACAACCACAAACACTTAAGAACACTAAAAATCGCACTCGAAAACACCTAATTCAATTAAGTCACTCTATGGAAAAACAGTCCGTCGGATCGGAACCGTTTTTATTCCCGATGCGGCACGTTCGACTCGATTAAACGAAATAAAAGCTCAGTCGGTAGCTGCGTTTCGACACGGAATGATTCACTCTTCTTGCTCCTGCTCCTTCCTTTTGGGCCCCTCGAAAAGTGCCACTGGTTGGTCGCCCGCCGGAGCCTAGGAGGCAGGCTTTATCGCGCTTGGCCATGCCCACCCTCGGACTGCTCTTTAGACAAAGACAGTGGTCGTTTAAGTAAGTGAGTGCGAGCGAGAGGTGACTAGGGATCATTCGATAATTTGTTGTAGGATTTATTGACATATTAACGGTCATCCGGGCTTCTAGAAATCAAGTAGGTGTTGGTTGGGTGAGCTGCGTGACCACAAGTACAGGCTCGTTGTCAAGTGAGTATTATAGGGGGGATTTGTTTATGGGGCGCGCGGGTTTTTTGAGGCTCGATAACTCAAATATTAGTTGAGGCGCATGCATCTGCCTCTATATTTTTGTTTTCTTGTTGCTTTTTTGTTTGGGGACGATCAATATCGATATTTCTTCGGCCATTAATTAATTGGAACATCGATATTGAATCGATCCAAATTCATATTATTTGATTTGAGTTGTCAAATGAAGTAGGGCATGGACAAGTTAATGAAAACCCCTATAACGCTCGAACTCAGAACTGTCAGATAACTGAGTCGTTGTTTGACAGATCGGAAATTTCTGCGCGGTTGAGTGTTATAGAACAGCTCATAATCCTCCTCGAGTTAGAAGATGACATTAGCTTTGTTTTGGTTTCACTCAGAACTAGTTTGGAATTATTTTGCTCATATTTATTTAGAACTATGTAAGAACAATTCTGGGATTGTTCTAGAACGATTCTCTCGGTTCTTGCTCTGGAGGAAGAAATGTTTTGTAATTTTGTCATTTACAGCTTGTTTTGTTGTTTTTTTTTGGTTCCGAATCGGTGCTGAACTGGTAGAACAGAGAACAGTCCTCCATTAGTTTTTGTGCGCAAGTAGTTCTGCGCAATCCAGAATCATTTCAAATTTCGAATTAAAACAAAGCGATTCGAGTCTTAACCAAAATGGCTTTCATCAGCAATCATATCCGTCTCTCTTTATCTTACATATTTAAAATGAGATAAACATATTATGTTGTTTGTTTATTATACGTACCATCGTCACCATAAGTATCTGGAACAAAAATAAATCATAATTATCTCCTGGAGTATTTCTATCATCATTTATTTTATTCATAGTTTGACAAATATTTGACACTAAAAGTCATATAATAGTACAAGAGCTTATATGTTGCTGTCCCAGTTACTTTTGATGACGATGGTACCTACATTACATAGCTTACTTAGATGGAAATTGGAGTTCAGTTAATTAAGCGAGCAAAAAGATGACAGGCCCAACGTGATCAGTTTTGACACACATGGGCTTCTGCCAATAGTGTAATTTTTCAGCTCGTGGAGGATTAACAGAACTCGCCTAATATTTAATAGTTCTGTTCCAACCGCCATGAGAACCGTTCCAGACCAGAAGCAGTAATTTCCAGTTGCCCACCTTTTTCAATAAGTTCAATGTTTATCCTACCTAACAGTTTTCTTAGTTCTTGCTCTGAAAGAAAAACTGTTTTGGAATTTCGTGATAAGCGGCTTGTTTTGGCTTTTTTGGTTCCGAATCGGTTCCGAACTAGTAAAACAGTCCTCCATTAGTTTTTGTGCGCAAGCAGTTCTGCGCAATTTAAAAGCATTCCAAATTTCAAACTAAAACAAAGCTAAATCGAATTTTCGCGACGAACTTTTTCATGATTTCATGAACAACAAAGGCTTTCGCGAGAAACTCATGACGTCATATTGAACGTAGTTCGCCGAAAGTATGGACGCAGCTTATAGCCAGCGTTCAAACTCATGACGTCAGGGGCGTTCTCTCACGGGGCGAATGGTTTGCACCACGGTTTAAACCAATTTTTAGATGACTTCATCACTTGTAAACGTGAGAAAATGGATGGTTTGAACCACAGTCCTATGTCAACTGAAAACAAACCAAATTCGAACTTTTTTGAACCTGGTTCAATATGACGTCACTGGTTCAACGCAGGAATGTACAGGTTTGAACCTAATTGAACCGGACCGAACCAGTTCCACCGCGAGAAAACAGCTCAGGGGCCCAATTCTTGAAAAATCTCGCATACGAGAATTGATATGATTTCGAACGTTCCCTATTCAATTTACATTGCTGTCGTTCGAATTCGAATCAACTTTCGTATGCGAGAATATTCAAGAATTGACCCGCAGAAGACAAACTGGTCCGTCCTTGGATGAACCAGTCGTGAACTACATTCGTCGGGAAAATTCGATTCTATTTGAGTCTCGACCAAAATGGCTTTCACCAGAAATCATATCTGTTCCTTTTCATCTTACATATTTGAAATGAGATAAACATATTATGTTGGTCGTTCATTACATGTACACTTGGCCAAATATAAAACTGGTACAGGCAATATTATATTTTTTAAATTTGCCTAGTGTGAGTCAGACTTAACAACAAAAAGTCTATTCTGAAAAACTTAGTTCAGACAGTTTTTGTCAACGTCAAACCTGAACCAAAGTAAATGCAACATGTTTTTATGTTATGATTGGTTTAAATATGACACTGACTTGACTCTTTTTGTCATTGTGGAGGTGATAAAAAAGGT